TCAACTTCTGAAAAATCAGTCACCGCAAACCCTATGGAGCACAGTTCTACTCTGACGCACGTGGGGTTGTCATGAGTCGGAGCTGACTTGATGACAACTGGTTTGGTTTCTTCAACAGCTACTTCCAGAGCTCTAGTTTCCCCATGTCTATTACAGCGGAATGTCCCTGCAACACAAGGATTGAGATGTCTCCCATTCCTCTTCTACAGCAAATGGGTGAAATCCGGCAGCACGAGCCACGCTCTCTGGAGAAGTGCTTTCCCCTCGGCGTGAGTTCCTACGATGGGAAGGATTCTAGAAAAACCAAAGTCCCAAGCTCTTGGCAGGATGAGTCCTTCCTGAGAACACTGCTCTCCACACTGCACAGGTCCTTGGCTCTGTGTTCCTTCTCTGTGATGCAACAGAACCAACTTCCTGTCTGCAACACCCTGAGTCAGCTGTTCAAACACCGCATGTGCAGGAGGTGAAGTCATGTTGTGCCCAGGGGGAAAGTAAGGTCCTACCTAGCCAGGCAAAGCCACTTGTCCAGTAAGCCACGGGATAGAGAAAGAAATGTTAGATGTGCTCGCTCCTAACACCCCCAGCGTGGCTCTCGGGAGCGCAGTGGTTAACAACATGGGCCTGCGTCAGACTGCCTGAGTCAATTATGCTCCACCACTAACAACTGGGAACCTTGGCCAAGTTATTCAACATCTCTAAGCCTCTCTTCCCTCATTTATAAAACTCAGCTAAAAATAGCCCCTGCTTCCACGGGTTATTGGGAGGCTTGATAAGAAAGTGCTTGTAGACACTAAACAAATGCCAGGTTAGTTCATCAGAGCTCGATGACTATTACTTTGCTAGTGTCAGTGAAAGTGACCACTCACCTGGGCCTTGGTGTTAACCCCTGCTAACTGCTTGAATTGAGCAAGTCATTTCACTCCTCTGAGCCTCATTTCTAAACACAGTTTGATTAGCACATGTCAAAGACAGAACAGGGTGCTGCAAAAAAAGAAAGGAAGGGAGGGAGGAAGAAAGAGAGGGAGGGAGGAAGAGAGGGAGGAAGTGAGAAAGAAACGAAGGGAGTGAGGGAAGGAGGAAGAAAGGAGGGAAGAAGGCAGGAAGCAACAAAGGAAGGGAGGGAGGAAGGAAGGCTAGAAGAGAGGGAACGAGAAAGGAAAGAAGGAAGGGAGGGAGGAAGGAAACGAGGGAGAGAGAAAGGAAAGGAGGAAGGAAGGAAGGGAGGGAGGAAGGAAGGGTAAAAGAGAAGGAAGGAGGGAGGAAGGAAGGGAGGGAAGGAGCGAGGAAGGGAGGAAGGAAGGGAAGGAGGGAGGGAGGAAGGAAGGAAAGGAGGGAGGAAGGAAGGAAGGAAGGGAGGAAGGGAGGGAGGGAGGGAGGGAAGGAGGAAGGGAGGATGGAAGGAAGGAAGGGAGGAAGGAAGGAAGGAAGAGGGGAAAG